TTTGATCATATTTTTGAGAGAAGGTTGTGAACAAGGATGAACGTGTTTGGCCATTGTGCAAGGGCAAAGAGAAGCTGCTGTGTTCTCTCTTGCTGCTTCTCTTCCAGTGCCATTGTCTTCTAACACTGCATGGTCCCACCTAATTAGGTTTCCTGTACTGAGCAAGATGACATTGTAGCCAAGAAAATAAAGCTACATTGCCTACCCATTTGGGTGGGGGGAGATAATATCTTTCTGTTACTAAGCAACTAGGCAATGCTTCCTCCTTGGCCCCTCTGCACTGCAACACTTTCATCAACCACATCAAAGTGCAACAAGATTGAGAACAGTGGCAAAAATGTGAAAAAGAGTACATTTGGATTTGAATCACCCAGAGTCAGTTTGTAATCTTATGGAACTCCTTCTTTACTCCCAAAACTTAGATGTGAAAAGAACAGTCCCATTTTAATCATTCTGCCCTCTAGGATTTGGGAATGAAGGGGATATCTTTAGGGTTTAATTGGATTCAGGGTCTGAGCTTACTAGAGCTACATTTTGTATTCCTGTTGTATTTGTTAAACTGAACAAAGAAGTCCGCCAATTAACACTTTCCCTTCCTCCAATAATGCTTTTTAAAAATTAGACATATGAATTTATTATTTTAATTAAAAAGAAATTGAGCTTGGAGAACACTCCAACCTGTTAATTGATTTTTTTAAATGATTTCTTAAATTATGTACAACTGAATAGCTCTCTGTTTTCCATTTTAATCTGCAGTGATATTGTTATCTTGTAATACAATACTAACATATGATTATATCTGCCATTAATGCAGTTAACAGTAGATGACAAATTTTATTAGGATATTTTAGGCTTAATTCCCCTCAGCTATGCTGCTATGAATCTGGAGTAACTGCAACAAAGATGATGGTACTGCAGCGGTGTAAAGTGGCTATAATTAAAAAGAATCAAGCCCTCTGTGTGTTGATGTAACAAATTATATTACGGAATATTTACATGCTACCTCCTGCAGTGAGCAGCTGGATTCCGTTTTTATCTTTTCTATTGAATGGAGAGCCACCTTGCCATTTGTAAAGTAGGAATCTGAACAGAACAGTCTCAACGTTGGATTATTTATTTATTTATTCATTCATTTATTCGTCCTCTGTTTGTCAACATGTGCAAGACACTAAAATATCCTCGTACTATACATACGTACCAACTGTACTAAAGATTCCATATTAGCACCCACAGTATATTGGCTGTATGTGCCTCAATATAAGGAATGCTGGTACAAAGGTGCTAGAAACTGCAGCTGAGACCTCACGATAGCTCGGGAAGAGAAGGCTCTGAGCAGGCAAAAGGCAGGGCTACTACTGGACATCATTCTCTCCAGACTGACATTCTTATTTGTACCAATAAGATTGTTCTCTACTGCTGCTAGTGTTCTTTATTCTGGGAAGCTGGACCATCCCTAGCCAATGTGCAGGTGTGAACAAATAGGTAAAAAGGTGAATAAAAATGTTAGGGGGATCTGACCACCTTGACCTACAAAGGTAGTTTGGGTTTGCATTAACAGGTGCAGTGGGTGGCTGCTTTTAAATTCTGCTATGCTTTAAATTTCACCAATTAGATATTTCATGTGCTGAGCCATGCATTAGGAGTACTTCATCACATAGTGAAGCTTATTTTCACTATGTATTAGAAGCCCTTGAGTGAAAATACCCTATAACATATCTTCAAATCTCCTTTTCCAAACCAAAAGCACGCTCAACAAGTAGCTAAGCACTGGAGCAATGGGCATGGAAAAGCTACTTCTTTACGTTTAACTTCCAGTGAGTAACAATTTACTTGCCATTAAATGGTGGTCTCACTCTCTCACTCTTCTGAGACTAATAATAATAATAATAATAATTTTTTATTTATACCCTGCCCTCCCCAGCCAAGGCCGGGCTCAGAGCGGCTTACAAGCAATAATAAAAACAAGATGAATGATTACAACTTAAAAACAAAAATAAAATACAACATTAAAATAATGGAACATTAAAATATTAAAATGTAGCCTCATCGCAGGAGGAGAAGGAAAAGAAAAAGAAAGAGAGGAGGGAGGGAATCAAATTGGCTCCAAGCCAAAGGCCAGGTGGAACAACTCTGTCTTACAGGCCCTGCGGAAAGAAATCAGATCCTGTAGGGCCCTGGTCTCATGAGGCAGAGCGTTCCACCAGGCCAGAGCCAGAGTTGAAAAGGCCCTGGCTCTGGTTGAAGCCAATCTAACTTCCTTAGGGCCTGGGACCACTAGGGTGTTGTTATTTATGGACCTTGAGGCTCTCCGTGGGGCATACCAGGAGAGGCGGTCCCGTAGGTACGAGGGTCCTAGGCCGTGAAGGGCTTTAAAGGTCAAAAGCAGCACCTTAAATCTGACCCTGTACTCCACCGGGAGCCAGTGTAGCTTGAAAAGCACTGGGTGAATATGCTCCCATGGCAGAGACCCCGTGAGGAGCCTCGCTGCAGCATTCTGTACCCGCTGGAGTTTCTGGGACAGCTTCAAGGGCAGCCCTGCGTAGAGCGAATTACAGTAGTCAAGCCTGGAGATGACCGTCGCATGGATCACTGTGGCCAGGTTGGGGCGGGAAAGGTAAGGGACCAACTGCTTGATGCGGCGAAGGTGGAAAAATGTCGCCTTGGCTGTTGCTGTCACTCCCTTTCCATGGAAAGGGAGGCATCAAGGATTACACCCAAACTCTTAACGGAAGGCAATGGCACTAATTGGGCCCCCGCAAGAGAAGGGAGTTGGTCCCTCATCCCCATGCCATCCTGACCTAGCCATAGGACCTCTGTCTTTGAAGGATTTAGTTTTAATCGGCTCCCACGAAACCATCCAGCTACAGCTTCCAAGCATCTGGTCAGTGTGTTCGGGGCCGAGTCGGTGTGGCCATCCATCAGCAGATAGAGCTGAGTGTCATCAGCATATTGGTGACAGCCCAGCCCAAAACTCTGGATAATCTGGGCAAGGGGGCGCATAAAGATGTTAAAAAGCATCGGGGAGAGAATTGCGCCCTGCGGCACTCCACACACCAAGGAATGGCGTGACGACATTTCCCTCCCTAGTGCCACCCTCTGTCCCCGACCAGAGATAAAAGAGCACAACCACTTACGGGCTATGCCCCGTATCCCCACGTCTGCGAGGCGGTGGTCCAGAAGATCATGATAAACCATGTCAAAGGCTGCTGACAAATCTAAAAGGATCAGCAGTCCTGACCCGCCTCGATCCAGTTGTCTACGGAGATCATCTGCTAGGGCAACCAGAGCCGTCTCCGTCCCAAAACCAGGACGGAAACTGGACTGAAATGGATCTAATGCCGATGTTTCCTCCAGAAACCTACCAAGCTGTTCAGCAACCGCTCTCTCAATTACCTTACCCAGGTATGGAAGATTTGAAACTGGGCGGTAATTGGATAGGTCTAAGGGATCTGATGAAGTTTTCTTTAAGAGTGGACACACCACTGCTTCCTTCAGTTCCCCTGGGAATGTCCAGGGGACTAGGCAATTCCTTCCTGGCTTAGATGTACCGCAGTAGAACATAACTTTAAATACAGAAAGGAACTGAAGGAATACTTACAGCGTGTAATACTATGTAATGAGTATTAGGTCAAACAGTTGTCTTAATTGTGTAACTACTTACATGTGCATTTTATTCTAGTGCTAGTTTGTACTTCCATCATCTCAATAGCAAAGATCCATTTTCATACATTGCTTACTTTTATTTTCAATCCAATTTGAAATGAAAACACAATTTATGGCATTTCTGAATATCCTTGAGGAGTTGTGTGTAAGAACTGCTCGTTTCTGTGGCTTCATGTAGTTTTTTGTTTTTTTCAATGTAGTGCCACTGTGTATTCTGTGCTGTGTATTTAACTGTTTGCTGTTTTATGAACAATAAGAGATCTAAAATATTATAGTGTCTGTTCCTTTCTAGTGATAGTAAGTTTAATCACTTCACCAGTATTAGTACGTTCTACTGTAAATGGCAACAAAGTCTGTTAATTTCAAATAGAAATATGAATGAAACCAGATCAACATTAAAGGGAAATAGATCAACATTAAGGGGAAATAATTTTATCTGATGGTCTCTTTTTTAAAACAAAAACAAAAACAAATCACCTGTTAAAGGTATGCTTTCTGTAATTGCTTGCTGCCTTCCATGGTAATGTGAACAAGTGAATTTCTTTGTTTGTTTTGTTCTTTGATTTTGGCAAGCAAAATAATTCATTATTGATTCTCGGATAATCTGTTAATCTATGCAAGCACCCAACAGATAACCACTTTTATTTGGAAGTGAGAACCACTGTATTCCAACAAGTAGAAAAAGAAAAAGAAAACCAATCTTTGTATTCTCACTTTCTCACTATGTAGTAATGACACGTCATATGACTTATGACATGTAACTTTTTCCTGGTCTAGAGAGTTTCCATCCCAGCACTGCCTGTTCCTTAGAATCATATCGTAGTCTCTTTCTACTTCTTAGGTCCTGCATTATTTTTCACCTTCATGACACACTCAGCCAGCTACACAGAAAATATTCCCTTGATGTAGCTGTACACATACCTTCAGACACACACACACACACACACACACACACACACATCCAAGGTAGCATCATATTCAGTTTAAAGGTAGATGTGCAGCAGATAGGGAGAGAAATTATTAGATGTCATCATACAAGTTTCCTCTTGAGATTTACAGGTACAGTGGTACCTCGGGTTACAGATGCTTCAGGTTACAGACTCCACTAACCCAGAAATAGTACCTCGGGTTAAGAACTTTGCTTCAGGATGAGAACAGAAATCGTGCGGGAGGCCCCATTAGCTAAAGTGGTACCTCAGGTTAAGAACAATTTCAGGTTAAGAACGGACCTCCAGAACGAATTAAGTTCTTAACCCGAGGTACCACTGTAGATATATACAGATAAGTAGATACCCTACTGTTCTCTGTTTCTTATATACCACCCTTCTCTTTGGCAGCTACGTGTTGCTGTTCATTGGCTAAGAAGTCTGGACTCTTTGTCGCTTTGTACTGGTTGGACAATCTCTGAGAGACCTATTGGGGGGGTTTGGAAATCCACCATTCTGGTAAGTGGATTGTGTGCTGATCTGTATGTAGCTTTAATCCGGTACTGCCTCATATTGCTTCTTCATGAGCTTTTACAAATTATCTTTCAAGTCATCTACAGAAACTACTTAAAAAAAATCCAAAAAACCAAAAAAAACCACCACCAACAGCATTTTCTAGTATCTAGCATTTTCCTTGGCAGTTCATTTGAACCTGATCAAACCGTTTTGGGTGGGGTGGGGATTTATTTCTTAGCTGTGCCTGCTTGGATTTACATTCTTGAATTTGTTCACCCTCAAAGAATGTCCTTGTATCAGTCTGGAACTTCTTTGCGCAAACTGATGCTGTTGCTACTATTTTGGCTGCTGCCATTAAATAATACTAAAACAGTCAAGTAACTTTATCCAGTCAGTTTGTATATTGATAACATTGTGAATTTCCATTTAAAAATGAAATGTTTGCACTGCAAAAATTAACAACTAGTAGCTAAAATGTTTGAAAGACACTCCATTATTTAATTATATTGTAGTACATATGCTCTGACATTCTATCTAATTACTTACATTAACATTCTGTGTTAGTGTGTCCACTAAACCAACTTGACTGGCTTGGTAACACCTCAAGAAGATAAAGAAAGCATAACCTCTGTAGCTGATCATTTTACAAATTCACTGTACATGCTAAAACTCACTTAAACTGTAGAAGATCATGTAGGTGCACCTTCCATCTGTGCTAATTACTATTTCAGAATACTAATTTTGATCTCTACCTGATAAAAGTACATTCCAGTCAGGACAAATAAGCAAATAATAATAATAATAATAATATAGTAAATGATTATGCTTTGGAAGTTAGTTATGGATCCAACAACAAAGACTGCAACCTTTGATTGTATTGAACTGTGCTCAGGAATTGGTTTGATATTTAAATGTTGCCTTACTGCTTGAGAGCAACCACAGCACTACTAGGTTCATTATATATGTGGGTTGGAAATTGTGTAGAAGGCCCAGCACAGTAATATTTTATTTCAGAGGAGGAACTTTCTTTAAAATGAGGGAATTAGATAAAACAATTAGATAAAACAAAACTGAAGGCAACTCACTCTGTGATGACAGTTTGAGCCACTGGATGGTGCTAGAGGCTTGGAGGCTGAGCCAGTACTTGGAAGCTGGCCCTTACAAGAGCCCAATCTACCTCAGAGCCCAAATGGGTCTTCTCAAAGGACCAAAGGGAGAGATGCTGCCATGACCTGCCAGGGGGCTCCACTCTCCCCTTTCTCCCTGGCACCGAGAAAGGCTTTCTTTCTTTCTTTCATTCAGGAGAGAGAGAGAAAGGGAAATAGGGGGAGGAGAGTTCTCAATGTTCATTTGGCAAGAAGTTGTGGGTGGGAAAGAGGATGGTCTGGGGTGGGAATATATGTATCATTGTCTTTTGTGGGGAAGTTGTGGGTGGAAGAGAGGGTAGTCTTGGGATGGAGATATTGTGACCTATTTGTTGGTTTAGAAGTTGAGATGGGAAAGGTTGTGCTGCTGAGGGGAAACTTAGATTGACAAGGGTAGGATGTTATCATGGAGAAGGAAACTCTGGGGAGGGAAACTGAATACCATATGATGTTACCATGGTTAATAAGCATTGTAAAAAAATAAAAATAAAAATCAAGACATCTCCTTTAAAAATTGATGTTCTTGCCCAAATGAAGAAAATATGAATCTTAGTATTTGCACTGAACAATGAAGCATTTGGGACTGAGTGCTTTTTGCCTCTTGTTTGTTTTGTATTTTATTCTGTTATGTCTTGCGAGTTGCCCAGAGAACAGGTGTTATTCAGTGGCCTATGTGTATACAGTGGATGAGTGAGTAACTAAGAAAATAAATAAATGTCATGAGGTAGGAAATTGAACCTAAATTGTAGATCATGCTTGTGAATATTTATGAAAGCTTGTTTTCCTTTATTTGTGTACCATTTGCCCAGATCTTACGAGATTTCCTGGAGCTGATCATAACATGTGTTACAGTAAAACAAGCAACATTCTGAACACTGAGTTGCTGGTCCAAGGGCAAAGGGTGGGGTAACTGGAGACACTCCTTCCATGATATTACTGACAGACAAACCACAAGAGGTAAACAAAAATAAGCCTTGGTTACAGTTTGTGGTTTGCCCAGTGGCGGAGGAAGGGGGTGTGCGGGTCGCCTCAGTGTCATCACTGGGGGGGGGGGGTGACAAAATGATTTTTTTAAAAAATGGGCTCATGAAACTTTTCAGGAGTGACGTGGTGGCATAGGTGCCTGCAGGTTCCGCACTGCTTGAAACGGCAGCATGGAACTTGCGTCTGCCTACTGCCTCTCTCCCACAGCCGCCATAAAACTGAGGGGGAGGAAGCGGAGAGGCTCCACATGGCGGAGGGGCTCTCCCCCGGGTGCAGGACACCCCCCCGCACCAGGCACCCGAGTGGCTAGCTACGCCGCTGGGTTTGCCTGGAATGAGACAAACCATGAGCACAGCTTCAGACATAAATCTACAACAAACCATGGCTTAGGCCCAGGTAACAAGGCAGCAGCAGGACTGGGGGAGGAACACTGTAGCCATGATGTTTGCTCCACAAACCTGCCTATTTGTCTATTTTTGCTAAAGCATGGTTTTGCTTAGTATTATGTGTGAACATAGTGAGTGTTAGTGCAGTTAAACAAACACTTGTATTTTGAGAGGCAGAGAGAGTTGTGCACCCCTATGGCTTTCATGAATCATGAATTGTATGTATAACTAAAGGATTGTGCCGAATATGCAGGATGGAGGGCATGTTCCATGTGCACAAACAGAAGTGAGAGATTGCTAGCTGGACATAATAATCAGGAACACTGATTTGAGGAGCAGCAGGAGCCAATGCTGCTGGTGGGGTTTACATAAGAAAGCTTTTCATGAAGTCACCCCCTCTCTCTCCTGTGAAAGCAACATAAAACAGCCAAGTCTGTCAAGTAAGGAGACTGTCTCAGAAACCACTAGCTGGAGCTTCAGAAGGTGTGATGAAATAGGCAGGCATCTCTCCCAACCCCTGGTTGAAGACAGTGTCACTGCTAAGTAAAAGAATAGTTAGACCAGGGGAAAAGGAGACTGTCTTGCCTTGAACTGGACTTGGAAGAATCTCAGAGGCTTGAATTGCTGAATTCTTGAAACATAATAGGGAACATGATATTGAAAGTGCATTTTACCCCCCCCCCAAAAAAAAGAAGCAGCCTGGGAACAGTAGTTTGTTAAGATTGCTGGGAATTGTAGCTCTGTGGTGTCCAAATGATAGATCCCAGGATTCTTTGGGCAAATTTTGCTTTAAATGTGCTTTAAATTTATGGCATGTACACAGCCTTAGTTCTGCAAGCTTTGCTTTATTATGCTCAGCCTAGGGGTTGGACTAGATGGTCCTTGGGGTCCCTGCCAACTCTATAATTCCACAATATGTGGAAATAAACCCAAGGAATGAGTTGGCACTCCTGAAATTTCTCATCGCTCAGAGATTAAAGTGCATGTAGCAATACCTAGCATTATAAACATTATTGAAACGATGGTAGCTCAGTAAAATAATTCCCATTATTATTTTTAATATATAATGTGTTAGATCCAGATTTGCAGAGTTCTATTGACACTGAAGGAAGGGACTGCAGAGGCAATTTTCACTGGTTCTTCCTGTAATCCCCTGTACACCTCTTGGAAATGTTGGGGGAAGTAGTGTAGGGGAAAGGAGAGAGTGGGAAAAATTACTTCCCCTCTTCCTTCCAGTGAGAAGCTACCACTGGATTCCAATCCAGTGAATGGAAGGAGGCCTCGAGTTCATTGGTGGAATAAGACTATATTCAACCCTTTATAATTTGTATGTTATTTACTTACATAGGCTTTTGCTAGATTGCAAGTAAACTAAAGCTAATAATAGTATACAAATAAACATATCCATACTATTTTTGTGTTAAGTGAGACAAAACTTTGAACCTCTTCTTATGACCTGTGTATATGTGTGTGTCATCAAAGGTAAAATTACTGGCAAGCCTGTGCACAGTGGCCACAAATTTTGCTGAGTTGGTCATTTGCATCTGCTGACATAATCAGTATTCACATTTGTAAGAAGACATCTCAGCTTCCCGTTCTGTGAAGTTTCCTAGTTCAGCAGATCAAGTGGCATTGTCACACTGGCACTGATAATCCCTTTACCAAGTTGGACATTTTGTTTAAAAGAGATTGAAAAGTTCTGCCCAATAGCTCAGAAGCTAAATAAAACCAAGAAAAATAGTTTTTGAGCTATTTTTAATTAAATTTGCTGAAATCTAGACTTCTGACATTGGTTGCCATCTGCAGGGCCGACTTACCCATAGGCACTAGGGGCGTGGGGCACCTGGCTGCTGGGCTCTCAGGGGCACCAGGCTGAGAGTCTCGGGCCCAAAAGTTGAGTCCAGAGAGGAGCCTGCCTTCTGGTCAGAGCGCTGCAAGGGGCTCTTCTGCTGCGGGCGGCTCTGTGCCGCAAGTTCAGGGGTGACCAAGCCAGCGAGACGCTGAGGCTGCCAGCCAGCTCCACCCTCCTGGGAGCCTGGCATTGGGCAACCTGGTGGGGGCGCCAGGTGGATCCTTGCACCCTGGCACTGCATATGCTTAAGACAGCCCTGACCATACGTCTGGATATTCCCAGGCATTTCAGCGATTTTTGCGCAGATGCTGTTTACGAAGGCTGAATACCAGCTATGTCTCAGAAGTTCCGGAGATATGGCAACCCTAATTTAATGTAAGTGCAAAATGATGCACATTTTGATACCTAGACGTTTTCCTTGTCAGTCACTCACAGCCACTTCAGACTCCTCACCTTAATGTGAAGTGGAAGTTTGTTTGCCTGTGTGACTTTGGGGGAAGAGAACTCCATATGATAATGAAACGTGGTTGTCCTCTTCTAACTTGAATGTATTCTCAGTGCTGTGGCTAATGCACTTACACATTTTAGCTGTAGTGCCCTAGGCTGCAAATAAATATTGTAGACGACAGGATTATTGAAAAAAAGCTGTAATAGACAGTTTATGTATAAAATAAATAGTTAACCCAAAATCAAATAATTTTTCTTAGCTTAGAATATGGAATATGGTTTACCTGTTTTCCATTCTGTCTCCTTAGTAACAGATGCATCTGTTTATGTTCTCTTAGTCATTAAATCCAAAGTATGTAGCTGCTTCAAAATAATAATAACAGTTTCTCTGAATTGGCTAACTACTAATTGTTTACTAAGAAATCTTACAGTGATAATGAGGCCAGAAAACATGGCCATAAGTACTGTTGGTAATGCATATGCCTCTCGTTACCCTGTGCTGGTTAGCAAACATTTCTAGTCTCATCAATGAATTAGTGTGCATTTAACTATATGACACAAATGGAACAGTAATCATTACTGTTTCTGATTTATTTCAGACATTTGTTTGGATTTCATAGATTGCTTGGTAACTAATGATACTTTATCCACCCTACAGCTGTAACATAATCAACTCTGAAGACAGATAAATATAAAGAGGCTTAAACCCCGTACAGTTCTTTCACTCAGAGTCTTTTGACATCTTAAAGAATAACAAATTTTACTAATGCATAAACTTTGAAGGACTAAGACTTTGTGTTACTTTGGTTTTTTTGCTGCAGACTAACATGGCTGCTCCTCTAGAATTTCCTATATCACTTGGTTTACTATTTTTCCATTTAAATACTTCACCAATAAAAAAGAATATGGAAAATAACTGCTTACCTGGGGCTCAGGGTGGATGATGTTTGCCACACAGCTTGGGCACGGCAGGTCCATGGAGGTCGCCATCTTCAAACATGGCAGGGGAGGGGAAGGTTACCTGGCGCCACCCACCTCCAGCCTCATTGGTCTCTCTGGTATGCCAATCAGAGGCAGGGGCTTGGACGCCTATTTAAGCCTCCCCCTTGGCTTTTTATTGCCGGATTATCCATTGAACCACCCAGTCTGTTAGGAACATACACAATAGTGGAACGGGTGTGTGGTGTGGACCTTGCTATGGTTTACTTAATCTCCATATTCAGGGCCAGGGAGGAATTTTCTCCTGCAAGCAAGTTGGCTTTCAGGTTTTCGCCTACCTCATAGCAACCATCATAACTGAAGGATAAGGCATTGGGCTTATCCTGAACCCCATTGGAGGGAGGGGTCCAAAAGAGGTGACTCTGTCCAGGAGTCCACAGAGGGACGGATGGGGCAACACACCTTGCCCATTGGCAGCCTGTAAGGGGTCACAGCACCCAATCCATATTAGCGGTGACTCTTCAACCTATCAGGTAGCAGGCAGGCTGCCTGATGCTGGATACATGCCCAGTGCCTTAGCCAAATCTACTTTTTCCTGTAATCAATAAGGTTGTGGCCTAATTCAACCCAATACCAGTCTCCTGTGTACATTCTTGTGGCCCTCCCTGCATGTGCTGTGGCCATTATGTGCCTATGCCAGCAAACTCACTTAGCAGTGACTGCTGGGCATACACAGCTATATATCCTTGGCTGCCTTACAGATTGACCTCTGCCAGCTCTGACTACCTTTTTGGGATGCGGAGCCTGAATCCAAGATTCCACAGCTCTTCAGCTGGAAATGGTCATGTAGCCCAGGTGCCAAACACAAAGGGGCAAAGCATCCATTTGTGCTTTCACAAGAGATGGGTAAAGGCTTTGTTAAGTTTGAGGTTGGGCAAGGGGTGGAACCTGTGGCTGCCTCATATAGAGTTGCTTTGGCTGCAAAGGGCTTCCTTCAGGACACGGGGCTCTGAATCTGCACTTCTTAGTTGGATTCACTTCTTAGAATGAAGTGGACACTCTGCTTATATCATGAAGGGCCCACCACCACCTTTATCTCTACCCCTTCTGCTGCTCAAGGTAACATTTTGGCCCTTGATGGGTAAGTGACAGGTAGTACTATGCTGTACATGTGCTTACAGGTACCATGCACAAAACATTTATCTCAATGTTAATGATACTGCCTATCACCATAACTGGAAGAAGAGAAGGGCAGATTCGTGATTCATGATGATCCAAGGAGAAGGAACATTCATTCCACTTGCTTTTGCAATCTTGTGAAATCTTGTCAATGTTTTCAAGTTCTCACAAAGAATGAAGGCAAGAAGCAAGTGGAAATTGAAGTGAGCCAAGGGGAGTTCAGCTATCGCTAACTGAAATTAGAAATGCATTAAGGTAGTGCAGTGTGATGATACCTGTGTACCTTTCAAAGTTGTAATCTGATGGGGGGTTTTGTTCTCTTGGATTGTATTCATATCTTATTTCTTGTTTTGGTTTGTTATATAATCAGGTGGGTTTTTATAAACCCTGGTAAATTATTTATATGTAGAGTAAATTTCTGGATTATTCATTTCTTTTTGGAAAGGAAATGCCTTTACATGAAAAATTATCCCTCACTTGCAATGGTTTGCTCAAAATGTTTATTGGACTGACCCCAAATTGCTATTTTGTAGAGCCTTTTAAGCAAAGGTGAAAAATCTCAAAAGGAGACAAGGTGAAAAATCTCAAAAGGAGGCAAGGAGTTGAGCTATAAATTAAAAGGAAATGCTAGTCATATACCATAGAACAACCACTTCTTCCATAACATTTATGTGTGTTGAGGCTTGGCAAAATGACTGAGCTTCAAGACCGGCACATGATTGTTGACATGATCTTGCTAGCTTACATCTGAAATCATGATGGCCTCAGATATTATCAGTATTCAATTTCTCAGATAAGACTCAACTGCATGGGTTGCAAAGTATTTGTGTGCAACATATTTTTTATCACTTATAAAACTATCAAGGAAGCATATAACATAGAGATACACATTTAAGATTATTCTTTGTGTGTTTCTAAAGGATATTTGAGCAGTGTAGAGCAATCAAGCAATATTTTTGTTAACTACTTTTCTCTTTATTTTTCTACATATTTTGTAAATAAAAAAAGAATGTGAAAGTTTTTTATCCATATGATTAAATCTAAACCTTCTTTCTTAAATAATTGTAGGGAATGTTTCCAGAGAGTGCAAGATAGCAAATGGTCCATATACCAACATTTTTAATGGACTTGGATTCTCTTTTGTATTCAGTGCTTTTTTAGGAAGTTCACACACTCAGAAATTTAATTAACCTTAAATGTTTCAATACGTTTTTTTGCTGGTTGTGTTTATACACTGCATGTTGTAGTGAACTGGGATTGTTGGGTGTGAATACTAGAATTTACCCTCCACAGTCCTTTGATTCCCTATTTCACTGCAGGCACATTCTTGAGAACATTACCCGTTGATGGCTTATCCTAACCTTTGAAAATTCATTGGGGGAAAGCTGAGAGTATCTGTCCAGTGTACTTGCTTTTCAAAATAAAAGTAGAGGAAAATAAATCACAACCACTGTATTCAAATCACATTATATCCATAAAGTGCTTAAAGTTAATTTTCTCCAAACATATCATAAGTCTGCGTTCTGTCTGCTACCCTATATAGCAGTCTAACAAAATTATAATGAAATATTTCTTCCACATAACTTACTGTTTTATAGCATTGAGTGTATTCACCAGACGAGAAAAGAATGTGAAAAACAAACCTTTCTCATCCAACAAAGGAAATAGGATGTTTGACAACATGCATTTGTCTACAAAATGCAATGCAATATCTGATGAAATATGCTTTGTCAATAAAATAAATTGCCAAAGAAAATGTAATCCTTTCTGAAAATGCATTTAGCTTTTAGACTGATATAAGCTCCCTGTTCAAAGTGCATTTTGTTCTTAGAATTATTTTGGATTTCCTGTCTGTCAAAATCTACAGATAAATATTTTGCTGTATATTCTGTCACAGGGTGCATATAAACCATTTAAAAATTAATTATGTAATTGAAAGTGTGAATTCAGTTAATTCGTTCAATTCAATTGACAACACCACAATTTTAATTAAAGGTGAAATAAAAGCCAAGGGCTTGGATCCAGTCTTTGCTGCCACTGGCAAGTAGCTCTAAGGCACTATACCTTTGTTAGTAAATAGAGACACACCCTAAAAGGACAATTTGGGGAGCCTGTGTACTGCTGTCAGTAGTTCACGTGGCATCACACAAGCCTATATCTCTACATTTCAATACCAGACAGGCAGATCGCTATCATCCATTCCAGAAATTATTTCTTTCTGAAATCCAGTATTTTTTCCATGTTTATGAGTACAAATCAACCTAATGGTCCACACTGTACTGATGGAAGTATACTAGGGTCAGCAAACTTTTTCAGCAGGGGGCCGGTCCACTGTCCCTCAGACCTTGTGGGGGGCTGGACTATATTGGGGGGGGTGAACAAATTCCTGTGCCCCACAAATAACCCAGAGATGCATTTTGAATAAAAGGACACATTCTACTCTTGTAAAAACACGCTGATTCCCGGACCATCTGCGGGCCCGATTTAGAAGCTGATTGGGCCGGATCCGGCCCCCGGGCCTTAGTTTGCCTACCCATGGACTAGTGCCTTGAAATATACCAATCTGTTAATTTCAACCTCTTTCTCCAAAGAGTACTGGTCCAACCTGGTAATCAGCTAAATCTGGAGCAATAACTTCTAAGAGATTAATGGCTGCTTAATAGTTAGCTAATTATATATTGTCATAGTATTTCATGTCTTGGTAATATTCATTATTAATTGAAGCAGAAGAAGTCTCATGGGGCTTCCCTCCAGTGAGAGGGAGAAGCAGGAAAACTCATGCCACTTCAATAGCCAATAGATCAATCCCTTTATAGAGGAGGCACCACTCTCAAGAAGCACCATCCTCCTTGCCACACACAGTGAACAGCACAGAATTAGTGAGTTGCCTTTAGGATTGGGAGGGCACCTTTGATTGACCTGCTGTTGTCTTTGTTTTTGCCTGGTCCACACTGTTCAGATTGGGGTGCAGGTGGATAATTGACTTCTAGCTGATTTTAGCTTGCTGCTACAACTTGACATTTAGAGTGGGCAGGGAACTAAGGTAAGCAGTGGAGACACGCTTGGGTTAACAACCTCACATTGCTGTCCTGCTTGAGGGGTTATTTTGTCTGAAGTTCTTAGGACCTGAAGGAACCACCCTGCTGAGGGTGGGGAAACAGACTTCCTTACTCTTCTTCAGGTGATTTGACTATGAGATCAGGAGATTGCATTTGACCAATAGTTGCCCAAGACGACAGATAAAAATATTGAGATGCCCTTTATTCCAAGCCTGATGTTATTTGTTGCTCATTACTACGTAGCTTTAAGCACTTGTTAATAAAGTTGTGAAGTTACACCGTATACTTGCCTTACAGGTCTGTGTTCTAAGGTTGTGCAGGCAGCATGTAGCTGTGGAGATATGTTATTTTTAAATATGTAGTCCTACAGTGGTTCCAATATCTTTGTAAATAACTAATAATAATACATGATAAAAAAACAACAGTTTAGTCAGCACTTGATCAAGCTGTGAAGACTTTCCAATAGGTACCGTATTTTTTGCTCTATAAGACGCACCAGACCACAAGACGCACCTAGTTTTTGGAGGAGGAAAACAAGGGGGAAAAATTCTGAATCTCAGAAGCCAGAACAGCAAGAGGGATCGCTGTGCAGTAAAAGCAGCAATCCCTCTTGCTGTTCTGGCTTCTGGAATAGCTGTGCAGCCTGCATTCGCTCCATAAGACGCACACAAATGTTCCCTTTTTAGGAGGGGAAAGTGAGTCTTATAGAGCAAAAAATACGGTACTTATTGCTGCCGTAATCTTGGATATCAATCCAGAATACCTTTCCACAACATTCCATATGTAGTTTGCAGTCTCTGTTGTGTACTTGATCTGCTAACATATATAATAAGGGGAAAGCATGTGCAACACAACAGTAAATCATTTGGGCTTTGGCTGGATATAGCAGCTACCCAGTTGTTTTATATTTACAATAGTATTTTTACAGTACTTCACTATTTTTCTGGTAAACAATATAAATGTAGGGAAAATACATCTTCAGTGAAACGGCCCTCAGGCTCTGAAGTAAGGCTGCCTAATTTTTTTCATGCCTTTTTAATGCGTATCACACTCTTTTTCAGGATTTGTTACAGGTAAGTTAGCCATGTTGGTCTGCCGTAGTCGAAACAAAATAAAAAAATTTCCTTCCAGTAGCACTTTAGAGACCAACTAAGTTTGTTATTGGTATGAGCTTTCGTGTGCATGCACACTTCTTCAGATACCCGAAGAAGTGTATCTGAAGAAGTGTGCATGCACACGAAAGCTCATACCAATAACAAACTTAGTTGGTCTCTAAGGTGCTATTGGAAGGATTAAAAAAAAAATCAGTATTTGTCATTCATGCATGAAAGATGCCTATTTTCTGTATCATCCCTTTCTAAAAAATAAGTTAGGTTTGTTCAGTCTTTATTCATATATCAACCTAGTTTATGTAATTCTTTCCCATTCTAGTCTTCTAGTTTCTCACCTAAAATCTGTGGATAATTCTGCTTCCTCCATTATTAAACAGCTCACTGCTGTGTTCATGTATCTCTTGTGTACTGTTTCCTTTGCTAGCTCCGAATTTCATCTTGCACTCCTTTGGTAATCTCGCAGTGGTTTGGCCCCTTTTTTTGATCACTTTTCTTCTGGTAGCGTCCAAGAATAGACGAATATTTCCTATAAAAATTGTCTACAGCACTATTCTGTCAAATCTGTGATTCTGAGCATATTTATTGCATTTCTTTACATGTTTTTTGCAAATCACAGGCTTTCTGTTAAGAAAGCAGTAAATAAATAAATATCCTCTAAAAGAAACATCTCACAATGTATTTTTTATCTGCCTTTCTGTCTTATATTTTTAAGTTTATTTTTTTGAGGGCTCCTTGGGGAATTGGGATATATTTATTTTCTGGCTTAAAACTATTATGTTTTTCATTTTCAGTCAGGATGTAGCTTTCAGTTTCCATGAGGTTAAGGCTCTGTATGCCCTATTGACTTTACTGTTGACCTGTACCCTAGAAAGATTTTTAAAGATGTCATAAACCAGTAATTCGGTTTAGATGCTGAAGAAATGTTTTATTTTGATCTCTATTTTTCCTTAATGAAATGGCAGAAAATGTATACATATTCATAATGATTGTATTAGATTTAGGTAAAGATTTTTTAACTGGTTGAAGGTTTTATACTTCTTAATCTGAATGCATTTCTGTAAGTTTTAATTTCTTTGTATACCAGTTTTTGATAAAGGGTATTTTATAATTAGAAAACACCAACGATGAAATGTGTTTCTTCCTCGTTGCAGTATCTAGAGGTAAACCCATTCTAATTAATATGGGGTTCAGAACAGCAACATCTCTTATGCATGCTTTAAAGGACATCATCAGGTGAATTTTAAAAATAGATGAAGGAAAATAAAGAAGAAAAGTTAAAAGTGGTAGACAAAAATGAGTTTTCTAGATTAATCACTCAAAATTAGTCTACTGCTAATTTGAATGAAAATGACTACCTGTGACAGATTGTTAAAGCTATTAATATGCAGTTTATCAAACTTAAAAAAATTGCATACAAACTCAATTGTTTCTACAAACATGGTTTTGAAGTAACGATTATGAATGTACTTTGAAGATAGTAATTTGTGAACCCTTTAACTAGGAGACAACATATTATCACCTGGATGAGGAACTTGGTACAGTCCATTTATTTTCATGCAATGGAAGTGCCATTTATAAAACCATTAAAATGTAACCTTGAAATTAACATGATGAACCTACAAGGAATAATTAGACAGACAAAAAGAAATGGACTTATACAAGTGGAGGGCTACTTCTTATGCAAGCTTCTAAAATACCTGCTAATGAACAATTATTTTAACGAGACTGTGAGATTGCATTAACTCATATTAATGTGGTTTAATTGCTGGATGCCAGTGACAAAAAGTTCATTCTCAGATAGATATGCTAAGCAGTGATGTTATATTTTAGGTAGTATTTCCCAGCTAGGAAAGCTATACTTCTAAGTCTCCAAGCTCATATTCTGGTGGAAAAGTATATGTTACTGATGAAACTGAACCTTTTATATTGGTGCCTGAGCAGCGTGCTCCTATTATTTTACCATTTACTCCATTTTTGCAGTTATGCAGTAAACTAACTGCATCTAACAGTAATAAACAACAATATAATAAAACAATTATCAAAATTATGAATAAGCAGCTAAAAATAGAATAGCAAAACAGCAGATGACTAAAATCCTCTGCTAGTGGCCTACAGCGAGAAAATCGGCTCAATAGGCCAAAGTCCTCTCCAAGAATCATCACCTACCATTGGTAAGAAGTACATTGGCAAGAAGTATATTAATACACAGGCAGGATGATCTTCAATATCATCCTGCCTGTATATTAATATACCTCTTGCCAATAAAGGGAGCCTTTATAATCTGGTTCCAATTTATGTGGGTTTCAGTTGTGCCTAGAAATGATCTAGCAGCTAGTAAAGCAATTGTAGTCACATATATTCCCCAAAACTGGCCTTGGTTAGCAGAGTAGCCACAGGCTCACAGCATTGTGGATTATCTGAAATTTCTAAACACTGTTCAAAAGCAGTTCCGAATAGCGCATGTCCGACTAGAGTAATTCACCTGAAAAATAACTAAGACACATGTAATCATAGCCAAGGAGCTCCTGGGACTGTGTGGGGCAGAGCAGCAGCAAGGTCAGGGTGTTTAGGCACACTGATGGGAGCAGCAAATTGCCTATGCCAGTATGCCTAGACTGTTCTGACCTCACTGCCATCCTGTCCAGCACTATTCAAGTGCAGAGCTGTGACACCACTGCTGGTCAGCCAGGTCCATGGCATTACCCTCCTTGCCAGCTGGTCCCTATCATAGCAAGATCTAACATTTCATAGAATCAACACAATTAATCTCAGCCGTATAGAAGTGCACCTAACCACTGCCAACACCTGGGCACTCAGGCTCAGAACCAGATCCAGGAACACTGTGGATCTGTGCCTTGAAGGACAATGCTACTCCATTCAAAACAGGTAAACCTTTATTTCTTACTCTGCCATTCTCTTCACTAGGAGCACCTCTGTCTTTTCTGTATTAAACTCCAATTTATTTGCACTCATCCAGTCCATTACCAATGCAAGACATCAATTCAGCCTCCTTGGATTGAGATGGAAAGAAGAGATTCCCTTCTGATGTAATTAAGGTTTAGCTTAACCCAGCAAGAAATCAGTATTAACAGTGTTTTTTAAACAGGTTCCTTGCCCTTTCTTCTCACGCTGCACAATGAGCTGCTTTCCATTCCCCCTTGATTTGAAAAATGGTCTTCCATCTAATTCAGGGACAACTGTTTGTCAAAAATAAAATAAAAACCAAAACAGACGGCTACTGGACACATTGCATAAATTAGAGCTACCAGCTTGTAGACCCATATGTCAGTGTCTAATAGAAAACTAGGTCAGATTCTTTGGACCAGGGGTAACCAATAGGGTTTTCTCCAGATGTTATTGGACTGCAACTCACATGAGGCCCAGTCAACATTTCCAATGGTGATGGGAATTGTTGTCCAACAATATCTGGAGGCCACCCTTTTGGCCACATCTGCTTTAGAATTACACAAAATATAGGGGAATTAATTGTAATAATATATTCTTTGACTTCATAACAAGTCAAATAACAAGTCATAAGTAACAAGACTTCATAACAAGTCAAACTAGAGCATTTAAACATAGTGATACACTCTGAGCAAGAGAATTCATGGCCCAAGTGGATGTGAATATGCTTTAATATTATTGATTACTTTGAAGCCACGGCTATTTAGCTTTTGGCTTGCTCCAATAATTATTTATCTGTTGTGTGCATAAAAAACTAAATACATTAGCAGCTAATGGATCACCGTTTAAGAAAATAAATCATTATGGTGCTTCTTAAAGTACTAAATTTAGTAAAACCAAGTCAGAAGCTTTTATCTCTTGAGCATATTTTATCAATCACAATTTGAACTGCTGTAAACATCTTGATGTTCTGCATAGTTTTCATTAAGGACTTTAACCTAAGTAAAGCTGAATTCACCAGTTGGTAATCTGGTAATGGAACTGTAGACCTTTTAATTCTCCCACAGGAATGTTTCTTTTTGCTTAATGTAAAGCACATTTTTAAACATTGTGATTAGAGTCTTAAAGAGATTGGTTTTAATGTAGGTGTCATCTTGTTTTCATCACAGAACTTGATGCAAAGATCTTTAGAACAATAATAATATGCCAAGAAAATGGATGCAATCCTTACTCTAAGTAACATGAATTAGTGTGAAGGAAAAAGTATCATTATCATTAATTTAAAAGTCAAAATATAAATATTTTGGCACAAAGACAGTTATTATGATTTAGCCTTCTGTGTTCCAAGTCCTTTTCTGCTATAAGCCTTGTTCTGGATCAAGCCGCTGGTAATTTTACTTTCTAGAAATAAGCAGTGAAAGACAGATAAAAATGCAATACATTCTCCTGTGTTACTGCTACCCATTAATCTCCATGTGTAAATAGTGCTTGTTGCTTCAATTGTTTGATATCAAAACAAAAGTTCAACAAAATTGGACAATAAACTAAATGAAAGCACAAGCTATGTAATTAGGCACCATCTTACTGTGCTGCATTTCTTATAGTTAATTGGTTTTCAATCACAATAAAACTCATTGTGAAAATACATTTCAGGTATCACTGTACCTGTCATTAATTAAATTAAAAACCAGATAATTGTGTGTATTATAAAATGTGAGTGTTCAAGTTTATTTATTTGTAAATCTCACTTAATGATCATCAGGAATGAATGAAACCAAAAGAACATTGCTAGCAATGTGTAAGGTATGCAAAATTATTTCAAGTTGTGAAAATAAAATTTAAGGCTAAGGCAAGACATTTGCATCTTTTGAAAGTGTCATCATTATTTTGGTACATAATATTTTGCTTTTAAAATTACAGTACTGTGTCTATTGCAAAGAAAAAGCAAAGGCTTTTCCGTAAATGTTCAGCTTAATGGACACTCTAACAAGATCCTGGAGGTCGTGCATGCAAAACCTTGTCAAAATTTGGCTTCCAGAAGCTATCCATACAGAACTTGAAAACTCCCCTGAGTTCATGAAACAGTTTAAGTATATGTTTTTTTTAAAGGGTTATCAAGAGCCAATAGTGAACATAATATTTATCTTTTTCAAAGTTTTTGCATCAAATTCCCATGCTTCTAAACTTAGTTTCATTTATATATCTCAGAATTGTAATTAACTTCTAAACTTAAATACTACGGTACCAGATGAAGCAATAAAAGCCCAGAAAAGCAAAAGCACAGCCACACACTTTAACAACATCTTAAGATGCCCTTATCCACACCTTTCAGACTGATGTGTTGATGAGAACTTCGTATCCACTGAATTTTGTACTTCTCCAAATGTTTTGGTACAGTTCTCAGTAGCTGAGACATACCAAAATACACATTTAATGTGATTGTGTTAGGGGCATCACAAAATCCAGTGGATACATCAGATCCTGTGCCACCTCTGCCCCTCCCTGCCCTTGAAATGCTGCAGGTGGGGATCTCACTGGCAGTAATTTACTGCTGCCTGCTGTTTGAGCAGGTACACTGAGGCATTCCTTGACAACTGGGTCCCCCAATGACAGCAGAGCTTCCTGCAAAATGGAGGCTGGCAAAGCTGTTTAGCACTGGGCAGGAGAAAATCTCTGCCTTATGCAAATCTCCTCCAGTATAGCAGATTAGGGGTCTGAATTGCTCTACAATGTGAGCATGGAATGAAATTATATGCAAAAGTGACATTGACAGGACATAAAAGCTTGGTGGTAGGGATACAGAGGAATGCTGTTCCATTTGAGCCCCACAATCTATATTAGATTGTGGTTACTGAGAACATACCAGGATGAACTGTTGTTGTTCTAGTTTTGCTCTCACATGATAGTTTAACAAAGCACTCTGATTAGTTTAAAACAGGAAGCTGAAGTTTCTGATCATCTGGATCTGAACCCAGCCAAAGTATCAATGAAACAGCCATATATTAACTGAATACATATGAATATACCAAAAATTAAACATTATTTTCTGAAGGTTTATGACAGCATTAGTGATATTATACAGAATCTGTGGGGAACTGCAAATATGAAGTGCAGAGTGCATCAAGGTTTCCAATAGTTTATCGTTAGAAAAGTTGTATACATCACCACATTTACCACAAAGGAATTTTATGATCAAGGAGAGGGGAGGAGTCCTAGCTACAGGCACCTGAAATCTCTGGGATTAACCCATGTGTGAATTTCAGTGTACAAGCAATCATTTGTTTACAAGAAAGCAAAAAGTGGTTAAAACTATATCCACACATATACAATAGTATAGACAATTTTTAAAAAGCAAAAGATAAAATACTGTACAACATTGATGCTTAGAGTTTGAACTTGATTAATTTCTAGATTTCTTTAGGGTATCAAGTGAGCAACACGATCCCTGGATCCAATCAGTATTTCCTATCAATAACATCCTATGAAACAATCATATCCAAATTGATAATAGATAAAATGCAATAATATAGGGGATCCATGATGACAAAACACTAGCAGAAAAGTATAGAAGGTCATTTCTCTAAGCTCTCTGCATGAAGCTAGAATTCCTTTTCATTGCAAGACTTTCAGCTAAGGGAGTGACCTTGATAGCCATATGTTCTCTCTTTATATATTCTAGATGAATAGTTCTCTGACTATATAACAATGAGAATACTGCAGAAGGAAATATAAGGCAATACCTTAGTAAAGGCATAACTGTAGGTACACCAAATTGCTGGGAACATATGGCTTCTTATTTAAAACTTGCAAGGCTGGCTTTAGGAAAAACCAAACCTCTGATTTAATTGGGATCATCTATATGAAACATTTTACTGAGCCCTGGGGAATGATGTTTGGAAATAAAACGTCTTTTAGAATCAGAGTATGTGGGGGTTTTGGCATTATGTAATCAGCTTTTTATATGTTAAGATGTGGAACAGAGGGAACGCTGCCGTTTAACAACAGAATATTTTTTTAATGGATTCCCATGTTTCCTCATATGACTTCCATCCAAGTATGTCTTCTCTGCTGAATTCACTGTTTATTTCCCCAAAATCATGGTGATTTATCTGTGTCCATAAATTATGTGGCATTGGTTTTGACTGAGGGTGAGAATAGGAGGTGGAGATCAATACCAGGTTTTCAGGGTGCCCTGGGTCTCTGTTGGGCCCTCCTCCTATCAGTGAGCCACAACAGGCTTATCTCCCTGCAGTGGCTGTAAGAACTGCAAGCAGTGCTGGGCAGCTGGGTTTAGCCAACCATTTAAACTCCCACAGTGTCGCAGAACAACACTTGAGTTCTGCGTTTTGGGAAAATGAAAGGATTGCAGATCCAGCCACTTTTCACTAACAGACCAGAAATAATATATATATCTATATATCTATATCTATCTATCTATCTATATATATGGGAAGCCTAAGGCAGCCCGTTAAGTATGGGTAACAGAAACCATTTCAATTGTAATAATGATGTCCTATGAATTGGGGAGGTATCTGTTTCTCTGAGAGCAGCATGGCCTTTCTATGATGAAAGAAGCCCAATTTTCACTACAGTGGTAAACCTGTGCTTGCTCTGTAGCATTCCAGCTCGGTGGTAGGGATACAGAGGAATGCTGTTCCATTTGAGCCCCACCACCACCTGTGGCCTGAACTGATTCAGCCAAGACATAGAGTTTACCACCCTAGAGAGCCCATAGTTTCTCAGTAATAATTAGCTAAAAGCTTACAAGAGATTTTTAGCTAATGTTATTTAATCTGATTAATCAGATATTATTAATGAGTCATTTAATGTTTGAGTTGCTTTTATGTGTAGCCTGATTTTTAATGCTGTTTTTATTATTTGGTCCACTGGTAAATACATTGCATAAATAGGAAAATATTGTTGGTCAGTGAATGACAGAAAAAATGGGAGGAAAGATGTCTCCTACCCTTGCTCATGGCATAAAAATTGCTTACTGTGCTGGTAGTGGCAGCAGTTGCAGCCCAGCGTTGACTGGAGGAGCCAAGGGCGGGGGGGGGGGGGCGGAAAGCTTCCACCTAACCAGCTGGCATTGTCATTAGTTGCAAGGATTATCAGGACTTTTTTTTAATAGGCCAATTGCAGCCAAGCTAAGGGACGGCACTTGTGAGGTGGACCTGACTTAAGCCTGGCTTCACTCAAGTCTGTCTTGAACGCATTTAAACCAGTTGTGCTTGCTTCCAGCAGTGCAGTTGACAATGGATGTCCCACCCTCCCACCTTGCATGTTTTGCTCACCTCAAAACAACGTCTATTCAGGCAGCTGGCCGTTGAGAAAGAAAATTGATATATTTGGGCAGAATAAAAACATTTTCAACAAATGTTGAAAACATGTTTGGACTTCCTTCATTGCTAAAGGAAGACAATCTCAAAGAACCAGCACAGAATACTGTACTCAAGGCACAAGCTTGAGTCACAGGATGTGTTGAGCTGGGAGAGGCAGCAAGCGGCTATTTTCCAAGAAGCAGAAATTTGGAAAGGCAGCTTCAGTCTTCTCTAAGGTATTGACACTCTTGTTTCAGTTGTTGTAGGAAGCTCTAGAAACTTTGGAAGCTTTCTCACAATGCTGATGCAAGCCTGTTCCGTTTAGCAGCCCAGAATAGTTTTACTTCAATTGAAAAGAGGTACAATGGTTTGAGGTTCACTTGGAAGAAGTAGGATGGCATCCTGCTCCATCCCACGTCATTTTGAGCACTGTAGTTAGTGTGTGTGTGTGTGTGTGTGTGTGTGTGTGTAGAGGTTTCATTGCATCAAATTAGGAACTTCCTGATATGCTACCTATTAGATACTGAAATTATATTTCTAGCCTTTGCTGCAACTGCCAGACTTTTCCAAAGGGTTGAACTCACTGAGATACTTTTGAAAATTTTGAATAGGAAGATCAGTCAACTGACCCATGAGAGTTTCATTTATGCAGATACAGTCATACCTCGGGTTACAGACGCTTCAGGTTGCGTTTTTTTGGGGGGGGGGGTTGCGGACCACCGAAACCCGGAAGTACTGGAATGGATTACTTCTGGGCTTTGGCGGTCACACATGTGCAGAAGCGCTAAATCGTGCTGTGAGCATGTGCAGACACGCCAAATTGCGACCTGCGAGTGCACAGACGCGCTGCTGTGGGTTGCGGACGCTGCGGATTGTGAATGTGCATACTGCACGGATCACGTTCGCAACCCGAGCGTCCACTGTACAGACTTGCATGACTCTAGAGCAGTAGCCCCATACCTAATAAATTCTAGCACTTTTATACTCTGTTTTGCTGTAGTAGCTGTGGAAGACCAACTGTGGAAAAAAAGCAAGTTGTATAGGAGCAGAGTTCTGCATATGTAAAGTTCTGCATATAAATTTGTCAGATATTTGATTTTAAATTTTGAAAGACTAAAATCTAAATATTGAGTTCTGAATTCTGTATCATACTCTGAAAGTGAGGCATTCATTGTTGTTGCTTTGCCATTCAACATCATAAGACCAATAAAGGTTGTAACTTACTGATAGAGCACGTGCTTTGTATGCAAAGGGTCCCAGGTTCAATCCCCAGTGTTTCTGATAGTGCTGGAAAGACACCAGCCTGAAACACTAGAGAATTTCTGCCAGTCAGTGCCAGCAGTATTGAGCTAGATTGACCAATAATCTAATGTGGTAAAAGGTGGCTTTCAGTGTTCCAAATATTTATTTATTTACTTACTTTAAAGTGCCTATATGCTGACTCTCAGAAGGCTTATGAAAAATAATTGGCCAAATACTAAGCAGGATAATTTAGCTTCATGTGTATATGGTAGGATCATTATTCATTGTGTTAAGGGCCAGTATCTACTTTTTGTCTCTTTACAGCCTCGTCAGACCCCCCAAACATTATTTATTAGACACATGTCTGTGTGCAATGTAAGAAAAACCTAAGTAATGAGGCCATTTATGCTCAGTTACATATTTTTAAAATATGAAAATGTGATGTGTTTTTTCCATTCCCTTCTTATTAAAATGGCTTTTGAAAAAGACATCCTGCTTATGAGATTAGATCGCTGGGAAGAACATACGGTAACATTTTGTATTCAAATAACTTAATCTTCTAAAGGAAATGAAGTATCTGAGCTTACTCATTAGTAAATAAATGAATTCACCATCTTTATATTCATCATCAGTCACCATTCAGTTGTGTCCAGTTTTACTAAGATTCTCTTACCAAAACCATTCCCTTTATTAAAGAAGTAACAGGACATTTGTTGAGGGACTTTGACTGGAATCCTGTAGCCACATTTCCAAGAGTAAAGCTCATTGAACTCAGTGAGACTTATTTCCAAGCAGTCAGACCCATGGTTGCCATAGAGGTAATCAGGCAAAGAGCCTCAGCTATGAATGTTGAAAATAACCAAGAAAAATATTCCTTGGCTTCTCCAGTGCCACATCCAAGACTGCCTCAGCCAGCTCAGTCAGGGATACTGATGAGCAGCAGGGTGGCATAGGAGACAACTCCTAGGGGCTGAGGTCCCTTCACCCCCCAATAAAATATTTGAGAGAGCAGTGCCTCCCAAAGTTGTTTGGCTTTGCCATTCATATGGTGTGTGTGCTGCATGTGATCAATTATGCAGGGCGGGTCTTACCTGCCCCCCCATATTTTATTTTAGATGGCACCCCTGGTAGATGGTACAGCAGCAGAATCCCTGATCTGTCTTTCTAGTCAAACAGATGCAGATTCTCCAGTCCAGCTCCAAACTGGGAGAGTTTCAGGTGCTGGACAGAGAAGGGCTATTGACTACAGTGGTTCTCTCCTTGGCATACAAACAATAGCCCTGCACATACACTCTTCCACACCATTCAAACCTACTTACACTCCTAAATCCACTAACATCTATAGTTCCCATTCACAGATTTAAGTGTCCCAGTCAGCCAACATCACCAACCCCTTGGTACCACCCTATCTACACTCACTTGGAATGCTGTGGCAACTCAAGTCTTTGGAGTTGGCACAGCACCGAAATGTGTACTCTCTCAAGGCTCCTGTATCATTCATGATGCATTTTAAAGTATACCCAAATTCCTTTTCATAGCTTACAACAGCAAGTGCAGTATCTCAACAGTAAAACATGTAATAGGAAAACATTTCATTTCTACTGGGTATAATACCATAATATCATTTGTTGACGATGCACAGTTTAATTAAAGTAAACTTTCGAACATCAACTACAAATGAAAGTACAATAGAGGTGAATAGTGTGAAAACAGGCTGCCATCCTGCTCCGCAAAACACAGGAATTGGGCTCAAGAGAAATGGTGACTAGTGCTGTGCTGAAACCCTTCCTCTAATTTCTTGGGGGGGGGGAGACTTCCTGCAAAAAATCCTGCTATACATTCTGCCTGCTCCTGCCCAAAGTGAATTGAATTAGAGCTCAGAATTGGAACTGAGTTCAACATTGAAGCTCAGAATGAGCCCTGCCCTTTAGGATGAGGGCTGAGAACACTGGTTCTGAAACAGTGAGCAGGACCTAAAAACTTTCTGAATGAGAAAAGCTTAATTTGCATGCCTTACTTGCTAGCAGGTTTTATGCTAAACTGTTACTATGATTTTTAAAAAATTTAAAATACTTTTTTGGTATACTGCATTAAGGGTCTTTGGCTGAAAAGCAACATATATAAACCACTAGTAACGCAACATAGATATTCAAATAGTTTCCTGATGGAAAAGTGGTTTGTAATGTTAGATCTGTGAAGCATTTGAGGTTGTAAGTATGAGAGACTTCTTGTAGATCTGTGTGCTTATTGGTCCAAGTGGTGCCTGGCTTTGAATTGTGTCTATGTGAATTGAAAGCCAGAGCTCTACTTATGACCATAATTTTGTTTCCAGCATCTGTTCACATACAATTTAAACATCTTATCAATGCAATCCTCATAAAGATATGGATTTTCCATTTCTTGGAGTTGGGACTGGGTAGAATATTGCTTATGGCAGTTGCTATTGTGCATATTTGCTTATTATACAGTATAAGCAGCTTGTACATTGTGCAACAACTTTATTGGATCCAGCTTCTCTGCATTGCTGATTGTGTTTTTGTTCATTTTAAATATACAATACAACATGGTTATTTGCCGGCAATGCTTAATTCCAATAAGGGTTATTATACAAGTAGCTTTTGGAGATAGGTAGCTACTGGTCACCAACTCATGGAAAATGGCCATGACTGACCCTGAGCATAAAACACTCAACATTGATGCTGCTGGTTCACAATCGACCAGACTCACTTCGAATGACAGCCTCCTAGAGAAGAACCTTCTTTTGGCAAGAAAAGCATTCAGAAGAACCACATATTCACGGTGTAGGCTTTGCATTGTTGAGCTCCTTTCTGTCAGCAATAGCACTGTCAGCCAAAGCTCAGAACACTACCTTTCTCTCCACTATGTGCACTATGTGCTCTGATACACAGATCAAGGACCAGTTCCACGAGGAACTGGAGAAGGCTGTCCAAGTCTGCAAACACCTATTCCTGCTGGAAGATTCTGTGGATTGCCCTGAGACCTGCGGGTATAGGGCAGTATACAAATTCAATAAATAATAATAATAAAATAGATATCTCAATGCCAGGATTGGGGATGATCATCATACATGGAACAACTGCATAGGCCACTTTGGTATTGGCAGCATGAACGAAAACAGACAAAGGCTGTTTCTGCTGTTCTCATATCAAAGTCTCTGCTTCACAAACACATTCTTCTCTACCAAGGCAAAATGGCAAGTGTTATGGAGACAACCAGGGTCAGGCCATTGGCACCAGCTGGACTTGATTATCACCAGGTGATTGGCACTGAACTGTGTTCATGACCTATAGCAAAAAGCAGAAAGTGCAGCCTCAGGTCAATACTGCCAGAATTGTTGTACCTGAAGTTTTTGAACGTTTCTCTCTGGACTCTGTGGAGTTCCGTTTTTGCCAACACAATTTCTCATACAAAGTTTACAGTGGGTTTAACTGAAACACTTCTTTGATGTGTCTAGATCCAGCCCTAGTCAAACAAGCACTACTGAACCACAGTAGAGACATTGTTGAAGTAATGTGGAACCACAGTGAAGAGGTAACCTACAACACAGCTATGTCCTCTTTTGGCAAAAGAGAGCAGCAGACCCCAACTGATTTTAGGGCGGCATTACAGACATGGAGCCTGTTATCACAGCAAAGCACAAGGCTCTATTGAATCACAAGTGTGTTCCCTGCAAGAAGGTGTGTTCTGCACTGATAATGGCAAAGAGCAATGCCTATTGGATTTCCAGACAATGTGCCAGTGGCTACTGGCTAAAGCTGTGTCAGAGCATTCAGCTTGCTGCTGACAGTGGCAATACTCGCAAAATGGATGAAAGCATGAAGAAAACCTTTGGATCAACTGTCAGGAAAACTGCACTACTGAAACCCTTGTCTGGAGAAACCATCACAAACCACAGCAAGCAGATGAAGTGACTGGCAGAGCACTATGAATAACTATGAATAACTGACAGTATCCAGCTCTCTGCCTGTATTAGAAAAGCTGGGTGTCCCTTACTCCTCTGATGAGCTGAAGAACGCCATCAACTCTCAGGCATGTGGGAGAGCCCTAGGACAGGAAGGAATCCTGAAAGGTATGGGAGAATGTGATGCTGACGTCCATTACTCAGATGAAGGTCTACCAGGCATGTGTGTTGAGCATGCTGCGCTATGGAAGTGAGTCATGGGCAACTTACACCCACCAGGAGGAACACCTCAATGCCTTCCATATGTGCTGTGTCAGGAAGATTTTGGACATCACATGGCAGGACAGAGTCTACAACAAAATTGTGCTTTTCCAAGCCCACATTCCCAGCATGTTTGCTTTTTTATCTCAGTGATGTCTACTCTGGCAGGTCATGGAAGATGGCAGGAGCCCCAAGGATGTGCTTTACATGGAGCTGGCTTCAGGCACCAGACCTGTTGGCAGACCAACTCTGTGTTATAAAGATGATTGCAAGTGTGGCATGAAGGCTGGCAACATTAACCCTGCTGTGTGGGAATCTCTTGCAGATGACCACAGCACCTGGAGATAGACAGGTTGTGATTCCACAGCAGTGAACAGAGGAGAAATAACCGGACACATTCATCTACCCCAGCTGCAATAAAATATGCCTCTCCTGTATCGGTTTCTACAGCCACAGCAGGCACTGTACCTCTCCGTGGTTTGACTGTACCCCATCTTTACACACACTTCCATTGTCTCTCAAGACAGATGGATGCCAACAATCTTATTGTATGAGTAGCTTATGGAGATGGGTAGCAAAATATTTCTCACCATCACCATAGGTATCTGGAGAAATCCCTTATCATTCTGATCGATCTCTCAACTATAAATAAATGATTCTGGGGTCAATCTGAAAGGGGGGCGGGAATCATGAAAGACTGCTTTCCATGAAGTGTTTTTCAGTCTTGCTCAGATCTAACTGAAAATGGAATAAAGCATACGTATTTCAGGTAGAACATGACTTTCTGCTTTTCTTTTAATTACTTAAGTTAATATGCATCTTGAATACTTCATTGTTGTCATTTTTAAAGAGTTCTGTGGGGGGAAATAGTAATTTATGAAAATGATTCACTAAGCCAGCCATTTGTTTTGAGTTTCCTATAACATGAAGATGATCGCAATCTGCTATATCATGCTGTTAAAATGATGCATAAGCCCTACTAGCATTCTCAAATGATGGAGTATTATTGCAGCCTCTTAAATGTTGGGCACTGAGATAATTTGGCTGGTGTTGAGGGAAGAATGTACTATAACCCCTGTGGCTCAGCTTTCATTGAATAAATATAGCATGCTGCTTCTTTTGTTCTTCTTGTGTGTGAAAAAGCAATTAATGTGTCCAAAAAGAAATATCACAAAATGTTTACTATTTTCTATAAAAATCTACATTAAGTCAGTTTTTTAAAGTTATTTGCACCATGTTGCAGGCTGTTATCTCCAAAACACCAAATGTTCCTTCTACCATATCCCTTACTGAAAGGTATAATAATTGTTCTATTAGTGTGTTTTTTACAGCTAACAGTAGTATGGTATCCAGAGATGCTAAGAGAAAACATGTTATTTCATTCTTTCTAGTCAAGAAATAATTGCTACATACAGCAAATGAAGCTTATGCACAGATCATTCTCATTTAAATAATATATTGATTTCCCTTTAGCAATGAACTAAATTTGCACTCTGCATCCCAGGAGTCAAGGTTCCTATTCCAGAGAGGAGAAGGTTAATGTGTGTGTGTGTGTGTGTGTGTGTGTGTGTGTGTGTGTAGTCTGATCTAGTCAGGTTTTTATTTGTATTTTTACTTTCACCTTGCTGTATCAGAGACCTGCTTTTTATGGAATACAGAGCATACTTCCCCCAAGTTGCATTACACCCTCCTTATAGCCTGAAAATGCAGGATCCCTCTCACTGTGTCAGATATCTAATACAGTGGGATGTGAAAAGGGTTTGGCCTAGTCCATTATCCATACCCTGTAAGGTCTCAAATCCAAAGGATAAACTTTAAAATAAAACAACAACAACTGCAATGAATGAGAGGCTGTCATAAGGGGTCTAGTGTGTCAAGTCCTAGGGATTCTGCATGATCTTTTGCTCAAAGGCCACCTGTAGCCCTTAACATGCCTTAGTTGCAGTGTCCCTCAGGTGTCCAATCCACATTCTGCCACATAAGTCATCCCCCCATCCACTACCAAATTTTGCTTTCTGGAGGGGAGTACCATGTAAATCCCAGCAAGATAACACGAAGGGGGCATGATTAAGCTAGGGTGCACAGGGAGAGCCATCCCTCTGTGCCTTCTTCCCATTTAAATCACATTCATCTAAACCCACTAAATAATTATTTGGCATGTTGAGATGTGGGCAACCTCTCCCAGCTAGGATGAAGATGTGGTCAGCCCTTCTCCACACCAACAAGGAGACACTTTGAAGGTCAGGAGTTATGTATGTGTTTACGTATACCACTGGTTTGTGGATGCCCCACCCATCAACTTTTGCATGTGACCTTTATGTCCACAGCTGTATTACGCTGTGATCTCAAATGTCCTAAGACTGACAAGATGCAATGAGGGGTGGGAATTTCTTTTCCTGTATTTGAAACTTGCCTATGCTTTCTTAGACAAGGCTGCCTGAAAGGCAGTATCAGAGGCTACCTTTTAGTAATGAGACTATCTCCTGCATTACAACCTACTAAATTCAAGCCAGAGGCTTTTGAGAAAAAATCAGTCAAACTATTTTGTTTGGGTTGGACTTTACTGACCAAATTAGCTAAAATTGTTCTGCAGGTGATTCGGTTTCATTTTGTTTTTGTTGTCGTTTCCTTTTTACATGTGGATTTTCCCCCTTTCCGTTTAATTGGATCTTCTTGCTTGCTCTTGTACACATTTCTTCCGTTTCTTCCTTTGCATACCCCTGGGACTGAAAGAAATTTTCAATTTCTTTGTACAGTAAATGGTTTAACTGGACTTCAGTTTGTCACTGTTAACTCTTTCAGGTTTATGGGCTTCAAAAATTAAGACTTTTGCTCATTGAAAGACAAAAGGCTTGTATTTGGGGAAAGGTTAACTTTTAACTTTTAATATATACAGGGATGAATTAAACTAACTGGCCCTGTCCGTGTTTGAAAAAAAGCAAAGGTCCTGACTTCCTTTGTCTCCTCAGCCTGGTCCTCAGACCCTTGTTGGCATAAAAGAGTCCACGAGAAGAGTGTCCTTGCAGAGTATTTTCTGCTTTTATTCTTAAAAGTCTCTATCTGCAAAACGACCAACCAACTGTACACACATCAACACTACCTGCGTTCTCCAACCAACCCACACCCAACACTAACATTGGCCACTCTATATATACAGGTACACTTAGGTGAAAGGTTGCATGAGTCATTGTAGGCTGCTGACTCATGCTGACTTAGTTCTATTAGCGTTAAAGAAACAGCGGTCAATTTTTGGCCGTGACAGGCCCCACCAGTAGAAGCCCGTGCAAGGAATTCTATTAGCATAATAGGGCCTTTGTTCTTTTCCTCCCACTGCTCTAGGGGAAAGTGTGGAGAGGGCAGGGCAGATGGTTCCATCAGGCAAGCAGAAATGTTACATTGAATTCCTCCCAGGGTATTTAACCTTCTGTTTTAGTGACAATTAAAACTGAAGAAACAAGAGAGCAAATTTAATCTTACTGAAATTTGATTAGCATGTCACTGATAGCTTCAAATGAGTGTGATCAAGGTTTAGATTTGTTTACTGCAACCTAAAACTAGAACATTAGGGAACTGAGGGGGGAAAGAGAATGGATATATTTTGCCGGTTTTGTCAATGGGTTAGCGTTTCCAAACTGCAGCTAATCTTCAGTATGGTTTGTTGAAAAAAAGGCAAATTCAACCCATAGTTTAAGAATCTGACTTGTTTCAGGATTTAGCCTGCAGACCAGGCAAAATTATGGAATTTTGGCTGATACAGTAGATTGGATCAGTGCTCTGAACCCTATATACTTCCTGTTCAAGGACCAAGTCTTTCTTGGTGTAACTCAAGGTTCATATACTGTTGTTTAATAGGGATAGTAAACTTCCTGTACCTCTATTATTTCTTTGTTGTCCTTCTGACATTCTCCTCCAAATCACTACCTTCCCACACTTTCCCCTCCCTCAATCAATTTTTTTCTCCTTTTTGGAGTATCCCTGGTACTTGAAAATCAAGGCTGAGTGAGGGCAATATGTGGGAAGGCAGTGATTTGGAGGAGAACACAATAGGAAGAATGAAGAATTAATGGAGGTGCATGCAGGAAGCTTACTATGTACTGTAAATTACTACAGTATGGGTGAGCTCTTATAAATCACAGTTTTAGCTCAAGAGCAGCATGTAGACAGAATAGACAACTGAGCAGAGTAATTAATGCTGTGCTGGCTGCTAACAAGGAAAACGAGATTATCATCACAGCAAACTAAGGCAATGCAAAGACAGAAGGGAGGTGTTTCATTCTTGCATGCAGTGATCTGCGTAACTCATTGTAACTTTTCATCATACACCCAGATCACAATCTTGATGGTAAAAACCTTTATAAGTCATCATCTTACATTCTTGCTATATATGTATAATGTCATAATTTGTATTCAGGCAAGTATGATGACTCATAATACTCCAGCATTCTGTGTTAATGGAACTGTTTTGCAGATTCTTGTGCTATTGATGCTGCGGTAATTCTCCAATCTGCTACAGTAGAAAAATGTTAAATAATAATGGGCTGTGGATCTGTTTACTTCATGCAGCAAAAAATGAAATGTCCTTGATACTACTGTTATTCCTCTTACATTCTGGTTTGAAAGGGCCTAGTTCAGCAAACAAATAGAGGGAACACATGGTTCACAGGTGGAACAAATAAAAATAAAATGAAGGTGGTTTGTTTATTGATGAGCACAGCAGCCAATGCTGTTTTACAGTTTAACAGCCTATGATTTTTACTCTTCACTTATAGCATACAAACTATCCCATTTTCTGCTTTACTACAACATCAAAATGTGCAAAAGGTAGACACAAGTCACTGACATTCATCAAGAAACAAAGCTGTATGAACATTTAGTATAATTATTTATATAATATAATAGCCAGAAAAGTGAGAAAGCCTTTTTGCTCTGGGCTGATATGAGCCACTGAGTCACTGTCCTGTGCTTTTACAGTTACTCTGTTTTGTTTTTGTTTGCAATTCACCAGAAGGGAATGGGAAGAGGAACAATATAGACTTGAATCCAGGGACAAAGGTGCATTACACCTTCCAGATGCTGGCAGCTGTACAAAGGTCCACTGACTTGGCCCCAGGATCATGGGTGCCCAGGGCCGTGCACACCATGTGCACATGCATCTGACATCAGCACACCCATGGCATGTGCTGACATCACATGCCCGGGCACATTTTTTAGAGGGGGCATTCCCCACCGCAGACTCCCTCATTGGAGTCTGGCTCCTTGTTCCCAGTGGCAGCTCTGCTCTAGGGTCAGGTCTGACCTGGGGATGGAGTGGAGGAGAGGTGGTTGTGGCGGCAACGTTGCCACCCCTCTCCTGCACTAGGCTACATACAAGAGGGAGCAGCTAGCTCCCTCACACTTAGCTTCAACTCTGCTTGGGTGGAAAGTCACGGCTGCAGCTTTGCCGCTGTGGCACCCCTCTCCTGCACTGGGTGGAGGGTAGGAGGAGAGGCAGTGGCAGCTGTGTTCCTGCAACGGCGTCTGTCTGCTGTATAGGGCTGCTCCCAGCCGTGGCTCTGCTCCTGGGTCAGGTCTGATCCTGGAGGCAGAGAGAAGGGGCAGAGTTGCGGCAGTGTTGCCACCCCTCTCCTCAACTGGGTATCACTACCCAAGGATGCTGCTAAGGCAACATTCTCATGCCCTGCCTGGCCGCATCCCCTTGGCGTGCACGACCCTGGCACAAAAAAATTGTGAGTGCTCAGCCCCTTCACGGGGAATGTTGTGTGGTGAATGGGTAGATATTCATAAAATGCATCACTTTTTTATTTATTTAAAAAGTCACTTATAACTATCAAGGTGGGACAATGTTTGAGGATGTTGTAAACCTCTTTTTCAAAGCCAATCTCTGTTTAAGGAAATACTTTCCCTGAAACTGAGCTCGCTACAATGGGACACATTAAGTTGTGCAGGCAGTGTGGGCTGTGCAAGTCACTGTGGTATTTCTATGTACAAATCAGATGGGAACTGGCCAGTTTTGACATATCCAATTTATCCCATTTGGACATACTGCATTATTAACAAACTATGAGGATAAAAAAATAGATTAAAAAGTCTTAAAGCAAAAATGCAGACACTATTTAAGCAATGCACTTTAAAAAAAAAACCTCATGTACATGATTCAGCAATAGATTGGGAAGCTTAATTTTGGATTTCTGAAGCTTTGGTGTTGTGAATATTAAGGGTACACAATTGTTCTTGATGTGTCCAGGATTTTCATCTGCTTCCTCTTTTGTATACCTTTCCTCAAAGACTGTGCTATTCTTTATATGTGCATTTCACCCCTGAGAACAAATGTTTCACTGTTCTTTTTTCTATGATAAAAAAGATCAATGGCAGCAGCCTGACACTCATGAGCAATCTTATTATAGCAAACTACTGTTCACACCCAATGCAGGAAAACAATTTGGTAAAGAAATAGATTTGAATTTCAGGCTGCCAGAAGATTATTGCAAACCATGGAAAGAATACAATTTCATGAAATAATTACAATTGTGTTGCCGCTTACATTTCATAGAAATGTAGACATGTTACAGATATAGATAGACCTGAACACTGGGGAGGTATCTGCATGTTTCTGCTTACAGAGTAGTGCTTCTCAGGCCCCTCTCCATTCTCTTGTGCCCCTGAAATGTTATCCTTCCCCAGCTGCAGGGCACCCTTGAAAACAATAACCATGGAGTACAAGGAGCTGCTTTAGAAAGACAGGTGTCAGGGCTGAAACACAGGCAATGGTTCAAGGTGAGCAAGAATCTAGGAGGTCAAAGCCAAGAAACAAGCAGACCAGAAAGCAGGACTGAAGAGGAAACTAGAAGGCAGAACCATAAAATCATAGAAAGCAGGGCTTAAGGACAAACCAGTATGTAAATAGGAGCACCTCAAAATTCAGGGCAAACATGTTATTCAGACAAGGCTCAGTTTTACGGGAATCCCTTTTATGGCTTTTCTTGATGAAGAGGGGCCAGTGAGTCAATACACAAACACACACTCTGAATGAACGTGGTTTGTCTGTCCACCTGTTCTTTCTAGTTTGGATGCCTCTCAAGATAAAGTCTCAACAGTGGGTCTACTCTGTGTAAAACTTAGCTGAATGCCACCAACTATTGTTAAAAACAGTTTTGGAGTTTCTGAAGAGTGAGGCTATTGATCATTACAGTCCTGTGAGTCTTGCTTGCATAAGACTTTATGATTAAGTAGATGCACTGGATGGAAACTAAGCTAGAGGTTTGTTACATGAGAACTGTGAAGTAAATATGATTTATTTATAGGGTCTATGCTTAAATAAAAATACTCCAGTGTGAAAGTATGTTTAACGTTTCCATTAATGCATGGCATTAATTTGATAATCTAAACCATTGTGCATGGGGTAGGCTTTAGAATAGTGCCACTGGTCTGGGTACCTGTTTGGCACTGTTGCTGGGACGTGCTATGATTTGGGCCAGTGAAAGCACGGCAGTTAATCAATGCCAGACAGCTGCAATGTTCTGTCTCCCCAAAGTCAATGCCTGGTGTCAAATTGCATTTTTGGAAACATAACATGGTACCCATCCCATCATAAAATTGCCAGTGCTACTGGATAAGGGTCTGGTGGACAGGGGAGGAGGTGAGTGGCTGATGGCACTACAACAGGGCTGTCTGAGATCCTAAGTGGAAGTGGGTGCTAGCAGCAATCCATGTGAGGGCCCAGTGGTATTAAAACCCCAGGCAGGACTAAAGATGGGTCTTTGTGTCTGTGTGTGATTACAGCATGGATAGGCAAACTAAGGCCCGGGGCCCAGATCCATCCCAATCGCCTTCTAAATCCGGCCCGCAGACAGTTTGGGAATCAGCGTGTTTTTACATGAGTGGAATGTGTGCTTTTATTTAAAAGGCATCTCTGAGTTATTTGTGGGGCATAGGAATTCGTTAATTCCCCCCAAAAAATATATATAGTCCAGCCCCCCACAAAGTCTGAGGCACAGTGGACCGGCCCCCTGCTGAAAAAGTTTGCTGACCCCTGGATTACAATGTTGGAAGCTAAAGCATACATTACTCTGTGTCTACTTTTATATTTAGGAAGTTAAGACCATCCACTAATGGAACTTTAATAAAGGCAACCCCAAATTTGTGTGTGGGTTGCATTCCGGGTCACTGCATGCATTTGTGGAACGTGCATTACCCACCCCATTACACCCCCATCATGCCCTCTTCCAGATCCAAAAATGGCCCATTTGTGCATGGGCACACGTTCTTTGAACATGTGCAAAATAGGAGTTTCCTGTACAGTGGTACCTCAGGTTAAGTACGTAATTCGTTCCGGAGGTCCGTTCTTAACCTGAAACTGTTCTTAACCTGAAGCACCACTTTAGCTAATGGGGCCTCTTGCTGCTGCCGCACCACCGGAGCACGATTTCTGTTCTCATCCTGAAGCAAAGTTCTTAACCCGAGGTACTATTTCTGGGTTAGCGGAGTCTGTAACCTGAAGCGTATGTAACCTGAAGCGTATGTAACCCGAGGTACCACTGTTTAGTACTTTCTGGTTGAGTGTTCTGTTATAGATTTAGTTCAAAATAAGTTGTGACATAACTTCTAGGGAATAATTTTTAAATGAATTTATGTTACAGTACGCTGAGGAGAATTATTTTGCACTCCTAGTTTAAGAAAAGGATATCTTTTAGATAAGGTATTAATTAGCAGATAGTTAATTTAGGGCAAAATACTGAGCTTAATGTTTTGTGAATGGAAATGAGGGTGTCCCATGCTGATTGAGCTTCTCTTTTTATGCCCATAAATTTTACCCATAGCTCAAGCTGTGTCATTTTTGATACCAACTAATTACATTCAATCTAAGTAGATGGACAGCTAAAGTGAATCAGCAGGACAGCGTTAAATTAGCTCTGTCCACCCATGGTATGCTTGTTAGGAAGTCATGAATACCTTCTATTGGCTTTCTGTTAGTTTGTACGTGGCAGTATTTTCTTTTTAAATCTCATGAACAAAGAGTTGTGAATTACTGTACAAGATTTTCAGAGTTCTTGTTGGTGACAGTGCCAAAGCATGAAAATGTTTTGTGACTTAACTTGGCTTCAAAATCATTTTAATGTTCTAATAAATATATTGGCTTAAAACTGCACAACAGTGTTATCAGAACATAATTTCTTCGCAAATATTTGCTCAAGTGCTGAAAGGCAATATTTAATATCCATAGCTGTAAAAATTGAAAAGTGTGAATCTCTTTTCCCAGAACATAAAGCATTTCTTTCTTCCAGATAATTTGGTTTTTATGTCACCAAACAAATGTAATTGTTTCATTGGTTAAATTGTTGTTTATAAAAATAAATATCAGTTATCACACATTTTCTATGATAAAGTAATATTGTGTTCACAGGCGCAGTGTGCCCACCACCTGGGTGCCTTGCAGCTATGTTCACAGAGACACGGTACAACTTTCTTGGACAAAAATAGGCCACGTTTACAGGTGTGTTTTGGCTTAGGCATTGGGTAATTTCCCAATCAGTCAGCGCGTCTGCTGACTGCCAGTCCTGGGGTTGATTCTGAGATAGGATTGCCCCATAACATACATCAAGTAGGAACAGCCCCTTAGAATCACCACCCTGGGAAGTGTTATGGCCCTCAGTCCCCGCTCTGGGTTTCAGACAGAAACACCTTCCCTAAGAACCCTTTAAGAGACTACCAAGAAGGGGAAGTCAATGCTATACGGCCTCCCCCCCGTCCCCCATTCCTTATTATGGATCCCACCCAATGCCTTATCTGCCAATGTTGTAATGATTGCTATGAGGCAGGCAAAAACCCTGGTGGGTTTTCCCTGAGCCCTGCCCTCCCCATGGCACTATGTTTACCGTGCATGTTGACTGGTCAGTTTCACAGGCTGGCAAATTCAAACTCCCAATGACTGTCAGGAGAGGAATACTTCTCCCACCAGATTTTTTTAAATTAGGGGGCTGGGTCTACAACAGAACAATATGTTTCAGTAGATCAGATTGAGGTAAATAGTTGCACTAGCAGGAACCAGTACAAGAAGTTCCATTAGTGCAATGACCTCCCCTCAGAAAACTCCCAGAAAAGAAATGCTTGTGCTGATGAAACAATCTTCTTAACACTGCATTGTATGCTACTCAGTGTTTTATTAACAAGAGTTACATATCTTCATCTAGGAAATGGCATACACATGCGCAAAACACCATACCCTTTATTGCTTAATAGATAACAGTGGTCTAAGCCTGAAGGTCAACAATTTCAGGGAGAATGATAATATTATTGCCTATATATTTATGATAATGTCTTTATGTCTCTAGGGAACCAGTTGATACAGTGGCTAGCATGCTGAGTTAGCAACCAAGTTATATGAAACAGTCTTGCACACATTAATTTCTCTCGGAGTTCCATGGTGTCATGTTCAGGGTATGTTCCCTGTTTCCTCTTTGGTTGTAGAACACAGGGTAACAGAGAGGCAAGCAGGACAAGTGAAATATCTCCATGAAATAAAAAATGCTGAGACTCTTAACTTTTGTCTTATAAAAATAAAACAAAGTGCCTGGCTGTAGAGGGATTTCTGCAATTACAATGGCATGTTTTTCAGTTGCCTTGATTATGGAAATTGTTTCTAGAGGCCACAGCTACATCTGTATAGGGTTCAGGTCATGGTACATTAGCTGTGTCCATACTAATGAATCCTTAGGGAGTCAACAAAGAATAAATTTACAATTAATCCATCTGTGTAGAAAAAAGCTATGGTGGTATTTGTTGGGCTTCCATGGACAGCGGCACATCTAATATCCCAGTGCCCATTCCTCTAGCCTTCTTTTTCTTCTGTTGCACAAGCACTCACAATCCATGGGATATTCAGTTCACAGTTTTTATTAGGGGATTACGTGCTACATCACACTCTGATATTTATTTATTTATTTATTTATTTACGGCTATTAGCCCATAAAGTATGTACAAACATAAAAGCACAGAGGCATAAAGACTAATATATTCGGCACCAGAAGGTGAACACCATGATGCAGGGGTGGGTCATTGAGCAGAGCCAGATAACAGCTTGGGGCCCGGAGAGCTCCAAGGGACGGATCCCAGAAAAGGAGAACTGAAGACGGGATCCGACATGCACTCTCTTCAAAACTGTCCGATTAGTTTTTGATGTTGTTGTTTTTGGTGGTTTTTGTGTGTGAGATAACTGCATTCAGGAATCTCGCCACCTGCAGAGTTACAGAAGGATCTGTATCCTGCAAAAGTAGTGCGGCATGTGACTCAGCAGGCCTGCCAACCAAGCGCAGTAAAGCAGGGCCCAGAAATTTAGTCCTGGCTATGCTATGTAGGGGACAGTTGAACATTATATGTGAGAGAGAATCAACAGTTTTCCCGTCACACACGCATAGCGGAGACACCAAACCCTTGGAAAATCTGTGGCTCAGCAGGTTCGATGGAAAGACATTGAACCTTGCACGAATAAATGCATGTCGGTGTGGTACAGATGAAAGAGATGACATGTATGATGGAAGGCCAAGTGGTGAGGTTATTCCGTGATACCTGGGGGAGCAGACACCCTCACCCCCGGCGAGGTTGTGTTGATTTTCAATGTCTGCTAATCTCTGCACACTCTGATAATTACTCCCAGAAATGGCAGTGATACATTCCCCCTTTGCATTAAGGCAGCCTCACTGAATTAGGATTTTAGACAGTCACCTCACCACCACCTCATCAGCCAGTGGTTCTACTCAAGAGCCCTTTAGTATCGAGTAAATACACTTCAACATTTATTTACATAGTCATTCCTACATACTGTTTGTATCACACCTTTCCCTGTAATGCATGCATGTGTCAGGGCACTTTTCTCTCTAGAGCGCAGTCTAGAAGGAATAGTATCAACCACACCTTTAGTCCTCAGCATCTTCCCCACATTCTTGGGAGCCTTGGCCAGAAGAATCCTGCTCCTCCCTTGAAATCTGTGCTCCTCCGCCAGTATCTGCTTTTCTCCTGCTGTTTAATCTCTTGCAGGAGACAAAATTTTCTCCTGGTTTTTCTGCTGTATGGTCCAGCTGGCCTGATAAGTAGGCCAATGCACCATTCCCAATCAAGCGGTGCCCTAGTTTGTCCTACAAATCTGGAGCTTTTCACCTAACGGTATGCAGTTTGGCCTCCCTAGATTTCTCCAATCAAGGTGGCTCAACCACGTTTTACATCTACCTATGTGAGGTCTTTGCAAAGAAAGAACACTGAGAAGCTTTGTTGTTATAAGAAATTACGAAAGAAGAATCAATTTGGTAAAGAATATATTGCATGCTGCAGTGTTTATATTCTGCACCCTGTAATCTACTCAAGACTGACACTGAAATATATCTTGTGAAACTTATACAACTTTCTTTGTGCCCATCATCAACTGGCTCCAGCATTAAACAATCTGCAAACTTACTGTTCATTTAGGAAACATCTCTACAGCACAAAAAGATTATCCTCTCTTTAAAGGGAAAACGTGCCTGTCCACAAACAAAAGAACTGTGAAGTCTTTCCTGAAACTGATTCAAGCATAATACCTACTCTTCCAGTCTTTGAGACTAAAAGGTAACTATTAAAATCAACATGATTCTCAGCTTTGTAGTTCTTCTCTATATTTACGGTGTATATAACAAAGATACCAACGTACTCCACTTCTGGGGGTGGGGGGGAATCTTTTCATCCTGTTTTTCCAGGCAGTATTCATCTTAGATGCTAACTTGTATCTCCTGATCTGGTTGTACAGAGATTGTACTTGCCACAGGCTTAACACAATTGTGGGAGACAGTATGGAAGGGATCAATAAAGCAGCATTAGACTTTGTGATAGTGAATCTCTACAGGACATTCTGGTTTAACTCTGTTTTCTGTGTTAACACTCTATACTTTCTCAGTGGGAAAGTGGTATTAAAAAAACAGAAAGGAATAGAAGAACAAAATGGGATGAGGCATAAAGAAATCACATCTTTTCTTGTTATTTAACTAGGCTTTTTTTTTTAATGAAAATAGGAAACAGTTCAAGACACATTTGCATAAAAGGAAATACACTGTGACACACAGATAAATAACAGGAGGTCTTCAGCTTGGCACAAAATAGGCAAGAGACAGAGTTAGAAGGAAAATAAGGAAGTGCCTGATTGCGCCAACTTTGTCCTTTCTTATTTACAAAGGGTGTGGTTTGAAGGTGCATGGCACAGTCAACTTGCTGAAACTAAGGAGGTCTCAGTCTGATCAATGCCTAGGATAAGAACCCATTTGGGAACTCCATGTATGCTACCTTGGGTTAAGACAGGATATCAATGTACTAAATACGTTTAAAAACTTGATGGTGAAGGGTGTATGTCTGCAGAGAAGATAGCAAGAGAGGCCAAAATGACTAGTACATAAAAAGAAATTAGTATAAGATGTAGCTGACTTCATCCTGAAAATAGTTTATTCCTTTCACACTGTCAGTTTTAGGCACATCCCACTTTAATAAAAGTATACATAAATATTAGAAAAATATTGTTTCCTCACTCTTTCAAATTAGCAGCAAAACCAATGCTCACAACAATAAGAATTTCAGCATGATTGCCTAAGAAATAACTGCTCATTTTGCCCAGTGTTTCTCCAATAATAATTGCACCTCGTTTTGTGATACACAAATATGCGTACACATTGAGCCACAGAACCACAAGCACAGCTGTGATCTGAAAGTTCTGTTCATCTGCTAAAGAATGGATGCCTGAACAGTAGAAGAAGTGTGCATGCACATGAAAGCTCGTACCAATAACAAACATTGTTGGTCTCTAAGGTGCCACTGGAAGAATTTTTTTTATAATGTGTTATTCATTCATTTAGTTGATTTGGATACCCTGGTTTTATCCTGAAGGACCCCCAAAAAAGCTTCCATAAAATAATAAAACATTTTAAAATAAAACATTAGGAACATAGGAAATTGTTTTACAATGAATCAGACCATTGGTCCAGCTAGCTCACTACTGTATTTGCACTGTTTACACACCATACATTTAAAGCACATGACTTCCCACAAATAATCCTGGGAACTGGGTTGTTAAGGGTACTGGTACTTCTGTGAGGGATAAACTCCCAAGATTCTTTGGGGGAAGTCATGTTTTAAATGTATGGAATACACACAGCCATGGACTCCACACTGACCGGCAGCAGCTCTCCAGGGCTTCTGATTGAAGTCTTTCCCAGCTTTTAAATACCCCATAAGTAATTTTTTTTTAGTTTTTTTCTAATCTTGTCTCTGTTGCTCCCTCCTTATAAGAGACCTTGTGGGGGAACCCAACTCTTCTTTTCCCTAATCATCTGCTGAATGATTGTTTACAATAGAATCTTAACCCTCCTCCCAAGTGAAACCTTCCTACTTTAAGAACAGTTCAATGGGAATGATGCTACATTAAGATATATCACAATTAGCAAGAGCATCCTTGGCTTAAGAAAAAACAAACATACCTGGCTGCCACTCAGCCCAGTGATTTTCAGAGGTTTCAGGGAGTAGGATAAAAAACACCTCCCAAATATTTATATATATATATATTTGAGGGCTTTTTCTTCAGTGTCCCATTACTGGAGAAACCACAAAAAACAGAAGAGAGTCACCAAAGTGTACATTCTTATTTGATCTCTTCCAGTTGGAAGATAACAAATGCGGAAATGAAATGGACTCACTTCTTGCAAATGTTGCACAATTTTCCACCAAGAAGGAAGCTGTAATGTATTTTTGATGTGGATTTATTCCTTCCTTCCTTCCTGTACAGTACAATATTATACAATAGTAGCCATATACATACAATTTATATCTATTTAGCTACACAGTTATGGGACAGGTGTGCCATATCTATATATATATAAAAGGGGAGAAAGGTTTCAGGAAAGGTTTTTGTCAGTCTCAGTGCAAGTAACAAGTGCTAGAAATCTCATTAGCTGCCTGTCATATGAAATTTAAAACTACCTTGGCCACTTGTGGCCATTAAAAGCTCCCATGCCACAGTTTATAGGAGCAAAATATTTCAGTCTAGCACTATGGCCAAATTCCAATTTATCTAATTAAATTCTGACTAAATATCACTTGTAGCCTAATCTGTTACCTTCGTGCCTTTTAAGTGAGGTATAGAAATGTCTTCACTGCTAAACAGTGTCCTTTTTGTGTCCAGTCTGGTAAAGAAAGTGTGTCTGAGGCTGAGGGGGGTGGGTGGTTTGGTAATCAGTCATTTCCCATGAAAAGCTATTTTAAACATTAAGATGCACCATATATACATTTATCACTATGTCCAAGCATTACATGTAACACAGGTTGGTCATAGTTTTTTCAAGAATATGAGGCACTTTGTTTCAGTAGAAGGGGGCCTGTGCTATATCCACTGGTTACATAAAGAGAAGGGAGCTCTGTTGGTGCAAGATTCGCTCCACTACCCCATCCTACTACACAGCCCTGTACTGTATAGCCCAGCCCATACTGTTCAGGGCAGCCCACTGACTCTCTACAGGGGGTACCAGGAAAAGGAAAAGTACAAGCTGCCTTCCATTTATGTAACCACTGCATGCAATCCATCCTTTACTTTTTACAGCCTATATCCAATGATACTTCCCTCTCACTTACCTTGGCTCATAGGTCTGTCCTTGCTAAGAGGCCTAATCAAAAACAGCTACTCATCAGCAGTAACAGGCAGCAGTAACACAGGGACCAGACATTGCCACAATCCCATATGCCAACTCTCTCCCCCCCCCCACCTTCTGCTTTCTGGTGACACTGATACAGGACCTAATAATGTCAGCCATAACATAAGATCCTATTCACCTGCTCGTCTTACAATGTGGCATATGCTGTCATCACCTGCAGTGCTCTTCTGCTTTCTTCATAAGGCAAACTCATCAGTCTCTATGCAAAAGCATAACCAGACACAAACCTGATATCAGAAATGGCAAAATTCAGAGAGCAGTGGGAATTTGATCCTCCCAGGGCAGAGTGCTGTTGACCAGACAGCTGCTATTCTTCCACGAAACAATTCTAATGAAGTACAGTGGTACCTCAGGTTACATACGCTTCAGGTTACAGGCTCTGCTAACCCAGAAATATTACCTCGGGTCAAGAACTTTGCTTCAGGATGAGAACAGAAATCGTGCAGCGGCAGTGCAGCGGCAGCAGGAGGCCCCATTAGCTAAAGTGGTGCTTCAGGTTAAGAACAGTTTCAGGTGAAGAACAGACCTCCAGAACGAATTATGTTCTTAACCTGGGGTGCCACTGTACTCTAATGTGAAACTGTTGAATTAGAACTTACCAAGCAACTTGATTCTATTCATTTAGGTTTCAGTCATAACAATGGTTTCCTGTGCTACTACAGACAACCACAAACTTAATACTAGGATGATTTTGTTATCATCAGTTACTGATGTTGTGAATGGTTTGTTGTTGTTGTTGTTTAGTCGTTTAGTCGTGTCCGACTCTTCATGACCCCATGGACCAGAGCACGCCAGGCACTTCTGTCTTCATTGTGAATGGTAGCAATGTTTATTTGAACCCCCACTTCACCTTGGAGCAGAGGGAAATGGTACATTGGATGGCTGTAGAGCCCTAAAGTTTTATTTATATACTCGGATTATTTACTTACAATATTTCTAACCCACTTCTGATTGTTCCTTTGGAGTATATGACATCAGGTGGATGTCAAGTGGATGTCACTGATAGAAAATGACTTCATGGGCCTTATTTGGACTGTAGGCCAGAGGTCTATTGGATCACCCTTACCCATATGTTTAGCGGCACTCTTAAAGAATTCTAAAAGGTTACTAACACCTTTCAGAAAAGGCACTTGCCTAAATCCACTATTTCCAGACGTTACTTTCAGATCTGCAAAATTCAAAGTATGTTTTTATTGTCTGCATTTACTAGCATGCCAGGTTCAGAGCAATGCTGTGAATGTTAGAAAAATATTTTATTGAATAATGTTAGGTTTTACCTAAGTTTACCTAATTTTTTCTTTTTTTCTTCTATTTTCTTCATTAATAAATTGCATTAACCAATATTTTAAGTTGCTTTGAAAGGGAAAGGAATATAATGTCTTTTTGTGTTTTACTTATTCTATTTTTTTTTGTTTCTTATTTAGTATTTATCTCCTGTTAACACTTCCCTTTCCCAATGTCAACTTGTTTGGGGAGAATGAATGGACACTGTCTGGACCATATTCCTTTTTTCTGCTACATACAGTGATATGCGTCTTTCTAACTCAACTCAAGCTGTGTTTTACTGATGGAAATTGCAAGTGACTATGCCACTTTTCATTACAAATGCAGTGAAAATTTTAAAGAAATTGCTATTTTTTGTATAGTTATCAAATTTTGTTTCAGTTTCAAGTTGGCACATTGAGTTCATTTTGCTATATAAAGAAGAGTTTGTAATGTGTGGTTTAGTGACTAGGATCTGTTACCTGAAGTTCAAATCTCACGTCAATTCATCAATTTACTCAATGGTGTTGGGCAGGCCAGTAGACCTCTGTCCACTGT